GCACTTGTCCTTTTTAAAAAAGAATAACATGTAACATTGGATTGTTCTCTTAAGAGCTCTGTTTCAAGGTACTTTCTGGAAAGCCCGTAGGACAAATATTTCCACGGTTACTCCCCATCCAATAGCATTATCAAGAGACTAGTTCAGTCTTGTGAGGAGTGACTCCATCAGCGATGTCACAGAGCGCCTACAATCCTAGCACTTTGGGAAGCCAAGGCAGGAGGATCACTTGAGGTCAGGTGTTTGAGACCATCCTGAGCAAGAGTGAGACCCCCATCTCTACAAAACATAGAAAAATTAGCTGGGTGTGGTAGCACATGCCTGTAGTGCCAGCTTCTCAGGAGGCTGAGGCAGGAGGATCGCTTGAGCCCAGGAGTTGGAGGTTGCTGTGAGCTAGGCCGACGCCACGGCACTCTAGCCCCGGCGACAGAGTAAGACTCTGTCTCTAAATAAATAAATAAATAAAACGGGGATATTAGTCTTTTATTGGATTATTATAAAGAATAAATAAATTAATTCACGTGAAGTGCTTAGAATCTTACCTGACACAGTGAGTTCTCAGCAAATGTTGGCTATTAGTTTCTAGAAAATACTATAAGCTGAGATATATTAGAAACACCTTTACTTACACTCAACTGTGTAATTTTTTAGTACCTACTTCACCAAATTTCCAGCGATGCTTTCTGTGCCGTTCTCGGCAGTATTTGCTGACAAGGGAACACGTTTTAATTTGTTGTCTGTGGTTTCCCATGTATTATTTTAGCAATATTTTACTACCACAGGAAGTAGGAGAACAGTCGCTTTGCCAATAGTCTGAGGCTCTTTCTCTTTTGCTATACGGTAAGAAACCTCAGGAGAGGCTTCTGACTCTTTATCATTATGTTTTGTAAACACAGTCTTAAATATCGTACCTCTGAATACAACCGCAAAAATTATAAAAAGTCGTTTTCAGATTTGGGCTGCCCGTGTTCGCATATCTTGCTTGTCCTGACGGCTTCGTGTCACCAGGAGCTAACACTGCAAGGCACGTTTCACGCTTTTTGCGAGGTTCCCCTTTGGGTGTGGGGTGTGGGAAGGGATCGGCACGGGGGGAAGCAACACGCAGAGTGGATCAATAATTCAGTGGGAGACCCGGGGGGACTCAGCCGCTCCTTCCTCATCACCATCCCCACCCCCAGGACTCTTCCAACACAGGGGAGAGACACTGAGTTTGCGCAGAACACAGGATGGAGGCGCAGGCCATTTTAACTTAAATATCCCAAGCTATGGGGACCCCAGCGGGCTTTGGTATTTCTGGAACTCCAGCCCCTCCTCAGGGGTATATCCTGGCCTTCTGGTCCTTCTGGAAGAATCTCAGCACAACCACCTGCATTTTTATTTCTACCAGTATACACTCTGAGAAAAGTCATTCACTGGGAGTAACTCCCATTTATTTGGGAAAAAACAAAACAACAACAAAAACCACCTAGCAATCCTTTTGTTTACATCTTCTGCTCCTTAAATGAAAGGAGTAGAACTAACAATGAAGAAAAGGTAACGTTTGTTCTACTATTTTATTTCTTTTCTAAACCAGTCTCTTGGCTGGGCGCGGTGGCTCACTCCTGTAATCCTAGCACTCTGGGAGGCCGAGGTGGGAGGATCACTTGAGCTCAGGAGTTCGAGATCGGCCCAAGCAAGAGCGAGACCCCGTCTCTACTAAAAATAGAAAAATTAGCCGGCCGTGGTGGCACGCACCTGTACTCCCAGCTCCTCGGGAGGCTGAGGCAGGAGGATCGCTTGAGCCCAGGAGTTTGAGGTTGCTGTGAGCTATGATGACACCACAGGACTCTAGCCCAGGTGACAGAGCGAGACTCCATCTCAAAAAATAAATAAATAAATAAATAATAAAAAGAATAAAACACTCTGTCCCAAGGAAGGTGTATACCACATAGAGGTTATGTTGGATGCTTCACTATTATGTAGAAAGAAAATATTAGAAATATTATGTGTTGTGTAATGTTCATTATACATATGTTTGTTTACATACACATATGTTCATATGTATAATGTGCATATTACATGTGCGTAATTGGTAAATAAACATTTATTGGGAGCGTATGCTCACATTTCAATTATTTCACAGATGGAATAGAGTTTGGAGACTACCGATTTTAAAAAAAACCAACCGTACTATACAAGGAATGATTTCAAATGGCTTTTCATAAAGGCAGATTTGTAGATGTTAAAGTCAGGTTTCACATTTACTTGAGCCAAATTACTAGTCCATTTACTTTTTTTTTTTTGAAACAGAGTGATCTACCCTGTTGGCTAACTTAGTGCTGCCCCGGCTCCCTCCTGCAGCCGGCTCTCTGAAGCTAGCCTTCTTCCTCACCTTTTATTTACCAAGAAAGTTCGTATGCATAATGCAGGTACAGACGTCAAGCAGGAACAGTTCCTTTTCAACTGATATGAGTCCTCCAGGGTAAACAGGCTGGAAAGTTCAGAAGCCACTTGCCAGCAGTTTTCTTTACTGCTGTCCTCACCTGCTAGCTCAGAGAGACGCTAACAGAATACACAGTCAATTTAGAAAGAGAGGGAGAAGGGAACGGAAAGAAAACCAAACTCTGTGTTGCTGTCACTTGGTTTATGTGGCTAGCAGTCACATGAGTGACAACCTTGCATCGGTTTACCTGAATCTCGTTAGGGCACAAAGCATTCTTCCTGCCGGGTCAGGTTGGCCACAGAGGGGGTCTGTCTCAATGCCAAGGGCAAGTAGAATTTAAATAGGGGAAAACAGATGACGGTACCGTATCTATTTAAAGAGGAGAAAGAAACACTATCCTCTGAAATGCAGAGGCTCACGGAGGTGGACCCGGGCAGTTATCAGCTAACATGAGACAGGGAGTGTAGAGTAGGGAATTTAAACCAGTGCCCTGCAAGAAACAGGGAGCAAAGAGGCAAGGAGTCACAGAGTGGCATCCAGACATTCCACACCCCATGGGGTCTGAGACATGTCGCCGCACTGTTCAAATGAGGCATCTCATGGCATGACTTGATCAGAGAGATGTAGCCCCGAGGTGGAGCCCAAGAGGACATGTGTTAATCACACTCCGCTAACCACTGTGCTTGGTGCAGTTCGGGTGTTATCACGTGATCCCCACAGCAATCCTAAAGGGAGGGGTGTTATTTCCCAGCGATATCCTGACATAACCCAACTAGTAGGTAGGTAGCATGGATTTGAAATGAGGTTTGTTGCTTCTAAAACCTGTGTTCCTTCCACTCTGTGACACAGTCTCCCTAACTCACTGTCTCGGTCCTGGGCTGCATGCTTATGTGCTGCAATCTGCCTCCATGAAGACCCTTCTGAGTCCCAGCTAGAGGATCGCAAGGCCAGGCTTGCTGTCTAGCAGGAACGAGGCTGTTCCGAGACCCAAAGGCACACCTCAATGTTCATTTCTGTAATCCCTTTCCTCTCTTGGGTTGTGCGTCAGCAACCTGGGCTCTTCTTGCCCAGCCACTGGCTGCCTGACTGGCCCGCACCATCACCCTCACCCCCCATGCAGATGGCAGTGCCCAACCCTACTCGTTTGCCAAATACTCGAGGGAAAATTCTCCCACCCAGAGAGACTCCAGACCATTTGATGTAACTGCATTCAAAAGCTTTTACTTCTGCCTCCAACAGCTGAGCCAGAGGTTCATGGGTCCCTTTTGCCATTTGTCACCCCCTTTTTTTGCTATTCTCTAGGACTCTGTGCTTCACAGTTCAGGGAAAGACTCCTCATTCATTCAGCAAGAATTTACTGAGTGCATACCATGAAAGCGAAAATGTTCTAGGTGCTGGAAACAGAGATAATTGGAATTCAGTCCTTCTGTGAAATACCCTAGGGTTCTGCTCACCTGTTGCAATGAGCAGCGCTTGGTAACAGCGTCCTGGGATTCTGAGCCAGAGCACCTGACTTCCTCGTCCGGAACTTCCTCGATGGGAGAGCCGGGACGGCAGCCCAGCGTCGGCGGTTGGGCTCAGTTCTGTTCTCTCTATTCAAACTACCCTGTACTGTCTTCCAGAGGTTTCTCTTCCGGAAACTTTACTGTGTTTCCCTTGATCTACCTCTTTTTGGGAGCCAGACCCTATCTCAAAAGGCCAAGGTGATACGAAAGGAAGGTCAGGGCTGCTCGGACCCTCCGGCAGAGGGAAGTGGCGCCTGGTCTGAGCAGCAGTTGGCAGACCCACCCAGGGATTAAAGAAATGAGTTAACAGGGAGACAGAGAATGTTTTTCAGGCAAGATCCTTTGGCAGGACTGTAACTTGCATTCGGTAAATTATCCCATTTTCCCTTGGTCAAAAACCCATTTAATATGAGAGGGATGTGGCTTATTTACCCGTTGTCATTTCTTAGCGTTCTCAGTTACCACGCACCTGTTACTGAAAAACTGGAGTGTGTCAGAGCTCGAGAAACAGCCGGAGTGGGAAGAAAGGGAAGGAGGTCGAACTTGAAACTGAGGTTAATTTTCACAATGACCTTTGTTCACAAGTCCCCTTCCATTTTTCACTTATCGTTAGCAACTTCTGAATTCTTACATGAAGTTCTCAGAGGGAAGGATTTTTTTTTCCTTATGGCTTAAATAGAGACAGTTTCCAAGCAACAAACAAAAAACCATCTGTTTCCCTAATTTCCAATATAAAGCTGTTCAACTAAGTGTTAGTTACTCCTCATGTAGGAATAAAAACTCAGGCTTCTGTGAAAAGCAATGCTCAGCTAGTTTAAAGTGAGACGTAGTCACACACAGAACGGTTTGACAGCTGTGGGTTTTCACGGTTGGCAGCAGATGAGCTCTGATGGCCAATAAGAACATAAACACGCATCAGAAAACAAAAATTAAGCAAATATACACACCCAAAGTCAAATCAGAAAAAAAAAAAAATGTCCGCATATACAAGACGGCTGGAACAGGTGTCTGAGGGAACAGGTGTCTGAGGGCAGTCCCCGGGGGCTGGGAACACCTTTCTCCGGATTACTCACCCAGGCAGGTGGGAGTCGCGTTGCCAGACGGAGGAGCTTCCGGACAGTTCCAGCGCTGCAGAGCTGACGGACCAACAAAACCGAGTTCACAGACTGCCGGCAGCAGAAGGATCAGTAAGAGCAGCATGACCATGATGGGTGTGAGCTTTCACTAGAAAATAACTTGATTTTGCTCTGACATAGCCCAGGAAAGGTGTGTGTGCATGTGTGTGTGTGCGTGCGTGTGTGTGTCTGAGCCCGCACGTGGCCACCTAGGCTGGCCCCCAGCCCTGGGGCATCTTTGGCTCTGCGGCTGTGCTCTCGCCCTCCGGCTCCTTCCTTCGTTCCCAGAGCTTGAGTGCAGCCTGCCGGGGCCGCCGCAGGAAAGATTTCTTTATCTCAGTTTTTTCTGGAAGCCAGTTAAGAAATACCTGACACCCTTATGACAAATTTCACAGAGTTTAACAGCCCCGCTCTGGAGGCCTGTGGCTGACTTCGCTGTGACAGGCAAAGGCTTAGAGAGAAAAAGAAAGGAAAGGAAAGAACTGCTGGAAAGTTCCAGCCACAACCGTTGGATGAGGCTGAAAGAAGAAATATGCAGATATGAATGATTCCTCCCCAAACACGGTTTCTCGTTTTGAAAAGTGCAACGACTCCCCTTTCCTCTTTAAAGCTCTGTTGGCTCCACCCCCTCTCCTTCAGTGACACTCGAGCGAGCCTCTGTCTGCAGAGGCGAGTGCGGCCCTTCCTCTGGACAGGAAGGCAGGCCGGCTGCCAAAGAGGAGATAACCCGCTAGTCACCGTACATATTCCGGCAGGCCAGGGAGAGCAGGGAGGACACGTGGAGGAGCTGGCGGTGTCTTGCAGGAACCTGCTGCACACTGGCTCTGCTTTCATATCTCGGAGGATGGAGAGGAAAGTAGACCACGTGGTCCAAATCCATGGCGAACGACACCGCCAATAATTTGGATTATAATCATTGATCCTTCACATACACGATACTAGAGATAATTCACCTTCGGCTCATTATTTGGCAGAAATGTCAACACCACTGCACATTCCTGGAGCTTGATCTTTCTCTCTCTCTCTCTCTCTCTCCTGTATATTTTATAGCGGAATTCGAAAAATTCTTTCCAAATCAAAGGGAAATCCCTGAAGCCAAATGAAGAGAAACAGTATGCACAGACACTTTTCTTTCAGCACCAGCGTGATAAAGCAGCGCGAGGGGCCAGGGGTGCGGGGAAGGAGCGGGTTGTTATTACAGAGCCGCGCTGGAAAAAATAAGTGAATAGTGCAAAAGCCGGGAAGCGCTGGGAACCAGCGCAGCTGAATGCTGTTCCTCCTGGTGGGGGGGGGGGGTTAGGCTATCTGTTCACGCCTCAGTCGTAGGAGATAAGAGCTTGACATCTCCATTAGCTGTCTTGACCTCTTTCTCCTTGGAGCAATGGCGGTTATTTCTCTAAGAGTACACCTAGGGCCCAGAAATTTCCAGCTCGGGCAAACGATTTACCCCAGATTTGATGAACAACGGAAATTTCTGCCGGTTTACTCCATCCTGGAAAACAGACTTTCATTTAAGTTGCCCCGAGGTAGTGTTTCCAGCGCTCGTCAAAATGCAGATAAAGCAATAGTCACAAAAATAACCATCACGCCGGCGACTACCCATTATAGAGAGAACAGAACAACTCGAAGCCTTTTACTCGTATTTAGTTATGTCCTGATTATTCTTCAAAGACTAGGTCGCTTTTCTGGAACAGCTAAAGCCAGGATTTCTCTGATTTCAGCCAGCCCCTGCCAGGCAGCTCTGACCCCTCACAGGGCAAACTTGCCCTGGGAGGAGGGGGGGAAAGGGAGGTGAGGTGGGTGGATGTATGGAATATTCCTCTGCTTTCTAGACTCACTCAGGCTCAGGGTTCATCATGGGTGTCCTACAGATACCCTGCACTGACCCTTCGGTTACTACCTTCGTTACTCAGTGTCCCCTCCAGCAAAACACATCGCCGGTGTCACAAACAACAGCAGTGAAAGGGGCTTAGCGGACAGCCAAGCACCGAGGGGTACTAGTGGAGCAGAGTGGAGAGAATGGTAGGAACGCAAGGACGAAATCATCCAGAACTCTCTTCTGTTTGGATTTGGAATTCCTTATGTTACTTTTGGTTGTAAAAAGGATTTCTCTCCTAATTATGTGTCACCCGAGCTAATGTCATCCTTGGTGTTAAGCTTGAGCCCCCCAGGAGATGATGGAGTCAACAGAGGCGTAGTAGACGCCGCAAGCGATAACCGATGTTGAGCATCGATCCCAGCCGATCCAGACAACTCCGGGTACCCAGAGAGCAAAACCACAGCACGCAGCTACCCAACCAGAAAAGCTTTCCAGAGATATTTGATAAATCTGTACTCTTACTTCCAGATAAAACTGAACCTTTCCTGGGCAAATGAACTTCCCCTTTATTTCAAAGCAGACAAGACATCCATTATAACTTTACGAGTTTGAGCTGCCAAATATGTTTTAGTTTCTGGAATCGAGTCAAAACTAACTAATTCATCAATTAATTAAGCAGCTATAGGGCGCTGCATGGAGTACAAGAAACAGAAGTCACGGTCCTTCACTTCAAGAGCTTGCCGAGGTTATTAACAGCAACGACAAAGAAGAGTATGTGAGTATGAGCTCACGAATGGCCAGGTGCCAAGTATTCTGGGGTATCAGGGGAGAAGGGGGTTGTAACGAACTCTGTGGGCTGGAGCATGCCGTGAATGAAGCTTTGTGGAGCAATTAGGAAGCCTGAGATGGGCATGGAGAAGGACACGGACCGTGATGACAATAGGATGGGGAACAGGAATGGACAAAAAAATTGCTTATTTATTAGTTTCTTACATCGCGAGCGGACCTAAATGCACGGGGAGAAACCCTGCTGGCAGGTCAGTAAGAGAATTAGACATAGTGGCAAGGAGAAAGCTCTAAATGCTTTTAAAGTGTGAGCAGACAGCAATGGCCAGGAGAAGGGAGGCTATTGGGACATATATTTATGTGTGCTGGTCATTCATTATTCGAACTTTTCAGATAAAATGTCCCCATTGAAACACAAAGCACCTACTTCCCCTGCGTTATGTACTGGCCGTGCTGAGCAGCTCTTATGAATCATCCCCACGACCACACGAGCGACAGACTGCTTCCCGTGTGCCTGGCGTGTTCACGTATCACCGCTAATCCTCAACGCTACCTTGCAAGGTGGCTGTTATTACCCGCGTTTCACAAATGAGGACACTGAAGATCAAAAGGGCTGAGTAATTTTCCCAAGATCACACTCATTTAAGCAGGCTGTGAAGTCTGGAGTCTTCATTTTCTCCCCCTTAGACGGTGTCTCTGTCTGGAATAAACAGACTGGGGCATCATCAAAGGAAAAGCAAAACTTGTGCTACACACATAGATGTGATTGCAGGACCCGGTGACAAGGCCGTACGTTTAGGTAGCACTTAACATTCACCTGCAGAAATAGCGCACGTGCTGTTTCACGGACCACCTCCATCAAAGAGCATCAGTGTATCAGGGAAGCTCCTACAAGAATCGAAAGCACTTTCTTGTTTTTAGGGTAGTGGTTGACACGTGTCTGGCATTCTGTGTGACTCGTATGTGGCAGAAACTTAAATTGTATTAAGGGAAAGAAATTGGGAGGGGCACAGGCACAGGAGTTAGCTATGAGGAACAAATTACAATTTATCAAGCTATGGATACCAGATATAAAAGTTTTATTGAAAAGAAGGGTAATTATGTTCCCTGGCATTTACCTAAATGAATTGGAAACTCATGTCCACCAAAAAAACCTGCACAGAAATGCTGACAGCAGCTTTATTCATAACTGCTAAAGCTTGGAAACAACCAAGATGTCCTTAGATGAATGGATAAACAAACTGTGGTACATCCACACAGTGGAATATTATTCAGCAATATAAAGAAATAAGCCACCAAGCCATAGAAGATATTGAGGAACTGTAAATGCATATCGCTCAGTGAAAGAAGCCAGTTTGCAAAGCTACATACTATATGAATCCAACTATATCACGTTCTGGAAAAGGCAAAACTATGGAGACAGTACAAAGGTCAGTGGTCGCCAGGGTTTCGGGGAAGAGGGAGAGATGAATAGGTAGAGCACAGAGCATTGTTAAGGCAGTGAAACTGCTCTGTATGCTACTGTACCGGTGGATACGTGCTATTGTACATTCATCAAAACCCATGGAATGTACAACAGTGAACACTAATGTAAACCATGGGCTTTAGTTAATAATAATGAATCACTATTGGCTCATCACTTGTAACAAACATACCACACTAATGCAAGATGTTGAATAATAGGGAATCTAGGGTGGGGTGGAGGGTTATATGGGAATTCTCTGTACTTTCTTCTCAATTTTTCTATAAACTTAGAACTGCTTTAAAAAAAAAAGAAGCCAAAAAATTAAAAAAAAAGAAGGGGGCAACAACCCAATAAAAATCCAAAAAATAAAAAAAGCCAAGGTCCCAACCAAAGAAAACAAAATTGGAAAAGCAACTGGGAAAAAAAAAAGAAAAAAAAAAACCCGCCCAAGGTTCAATTTTTCGCCAAAGCCCCCCCAAGTAACCAAAAAAGGTCCCCAAAACAAAAAGAAAAAAAGAAGCTCCAAAAAACCAAGGGAAAAAAAAGCAAGGGAAAAAAAACCAAAAAAAAAAACTTAAAAACCCAAGAAAGAACAACAAAAAATTAAAGCCAAAAAAAGAAACCTGTCATTTTAAACCGCATTGCATTTATTTACATAATCTAAGCATGCCTCCTCATCATTCTCCCAGATATTTTAATTTCTAAAAATGTCAAGGTTTAGGGAAAGAACTCTGGCTTTTCTATCATTCCCAATACAATCTTTCCCTTAACCTTCAATTCTGCTCAATCTATAGGAAGCAGAGTAGTATCCAAGGTAAAGCATGTGAAGTCTTGACAAGAGAACTAGACCTGCTGGGAACTGCATGTAATTAAACACTACTTGCTAGAACTAATGAAAATGCAAACCATTGTTCGCAGCTCTTCGTTTGCTCTTATTATATCAATAAAACTGCGAATCAGTATCCTCTTTCCCTTTTTCTACCTCCAAACGCAGAAATTATTTAGGTGAAGATAA